CTGTTTTGCTCCTCAGGAGGGCAAGGTCTACAGTGCCATTTCTAACATATTCCATCTTACTAGATGGCATCTACCCTCCTTTGGGACACAGATAGTCTCATTTTTTTCTTAGGTATGGAATTAAGTTGGGAAGTTCAGTATGCACTGTCATTTGTAGGCTAAAATTCACATACTAGCCCTCTTCACAAGTGATTAGAGCTGCAGTAGGAGTACGAACTCTCCATAGAGAAAGCTAAGCAACCTAATGACCATCTTGGCTGACATGGATGCTGAGGCCTGGCTCCACCACAGAAAATGGATGGTTTTGCTTTTCTTTTTTCCTTCTGCTTTCCACCCTTCCATTGTCTTTTGTAATTCTAAGTTCTGAATCTAGGGCCTTGTGCAACAATCCTCTTTTTGCTTTTTTATTTTGAGACAGTCTCATTAAGTTGCCTAGGCTGGCCTTGAATTCACTGTAGCCTGGGCAGCTTTTCAACTTGAGATTCTCCTGCCTCAGCCTCTCAAATAGCTGAGATGATAGAATGACAGCCTATACAACAGGGTCTGGCCTAATGATTTCTATAAATTCTTCCTAATGAGGCAAACAAGATGCCAATTGTAACTTGCACCTCATGACCCTCGTTTCAGTCACTTGTCTCATTACTGTAACAAAATGCCTGACAAAAGCAACTTAAGGAAAGAAGGGTTGGCTTTGGTTCAGGAATAGAATCTATCATGGCAGGGAAATCATGGCAGCAGGGATATAAGACAACTGGGTACATTGCATCCAAACCCAAGAAGTACAGAGAGGGAAAGGCTAGCACTCAGCTCACTTTTTCCTTCTTCAGTCTGGAACTTCCAGGCAGTAGAATGGTGCCTCTCATATTTGAAGTGGGTCTACTCTCCTCAATTAACCTGATCTAGATAGTCATTCACAAATACACCCTGAGACTTGTTCCACAGCAATTCTCAACCCCATCAGGCTGACAACCTAGAGTCCCCACCACATCCCTATTTATATCTTAAGAATATGTTCTTAGGCTAAGGAAGTTTATGTTGGTGAGTTTTCACAGTTGAGAAGATGATTCTCATGGATTATATAATCTTTTTGTATATCTAAGGTTTTACAACAATCTGTGATAACAATTATAAACAGAAAACTAAGTTGTGGTTTTTTTATTTGACTCCATCCATCAGCTTTCTTCAGATATTTCACAAGAAATGAATTGTTGTGTGTTTTCCTTCAATCAGTCTCTATACCCTCTAACATCTGCATTTACTGTAGTTGAGGAAGAGGTTAAGAGAGCAGAAATGTGGAAATTAACCTGCCAAGAACGTAGGAGAGAAGATCAGAGCTGGTGAGAGAAAGCAGGAAAAGTCAGACAGCGAGAAAAGAACTTACTATACTAGGCTTTTGTTTCTGCCTTAGAAAGTTTAGAATTCCTATTTGGAAATGTCTTCAACCAGGGCAATAAAAACATGTCAGAAATGTAAAATATCAGCCCGCTTCCCATACCCGCTTTTAAAAATTGTTCTTTGATTGAATCCACAGGGAACAGCTGAAGCAAGGCAATGGGCCTTACACAATGAAATACTTAAATATGGTGGGGGAAAGGCCAGTGTTTGAAGCCCTGTAGTGAGGAATTTATTCACAGTGTTTTGAGGCAAGGGTAAGGAGGTGAGCTGGCAGAAGAGGGGGAAGGGAAGGAATCAGGCTGGTGGAGGCAGAGTTACGGGCATGTTAGAGTAAAAACATTTTAAAATACAATACCCTAAAGTCAGATTCCTTTCTATAAACCTGCAGGGACCCAATAAAAAGCTGCGAGTAAATGAAAGTGTTACTAAACCAGATGGAGAAAAACATCAGAAAATCAAATGACACATTTGAAAGGGCAAAACATCAATATTACTAAAGAACTGATCAGATGTGTCGTTTTGAAATGCAACCAAAGCAACCAAATCGTGAAATGCGTTAAAATGGGGAACAGGGTGGGTGCGGATCTGGTTCCTACCATGCGGAAAATCAGATGCTCTGGGGGAATACATGAATAGAAAGGCAGGCAGGTTGTGTCTATACACATTTAGAAATTGTCAAAAAAAACATATCAAAATGATGGACCACGCTAAAAGGAGTATTTGTTGCAGCCGAGGGGACTGCACCAGGTCTCAGGGACCAGCAGCCTATGCTCAGCCTGTAAAATGCTCTTCACAACTTAGCTCTGGCATCTCTTTGGCATTAGTGGTTACAGAACCCAAGGCTAGACCTCTAAGTTCAGGACTAAGAGGATGCTGTGGCTCTAATAGTGGAGCCCCTGTCTAAAGGTACTATCCAGACTTCAACAATGTGTTTGCAGCTACCAGTCACATTGACTAAAAGTGGTGGTCCTGGGCAACTAAATACAAGCACTTAGGGGCTGAGAACTGCTCAGTAGGTAAAGTACTTACTGCACAAGAATGAGGATCTGAGCACTCATGTCAAAAAGATCCAGGGAGGAGCCATGCAGCGTGGCACAAACCTTAAGCCCAGCACTCAGAGGCAGATCAACCTTATCTACATAGTGAGTTCCAGGACAGCCAGAACTACATGAGTAGTTTTAGTGAGACTCTGTCTCAAAAAAAGAAAAAAGAAAAAAGAGCCAGGGAGATGGTGAAACATGACTGAAATCCCAAAGCTAGGAGGTGGATCTTTGGAGCTTGACTGCTAGCTAGCTTGGCAGGAGTGAGTCCCAGGTCAGTGAGAGACGTTTCATACTCATAATACAAGTGTACTTACACACACAAACACACCGCACACATGTACACACACACACACACACACACACACACACACACACACACACACACACACACTGCATACAGATACCACTTCTGCAAACTATGTGTTGCACGGGAGTAGGGCAGGGACCAGATATTGAGCCAGCAAGCCCGAAACAAATCACTAAGTGCACACAATATCTGAGTAGTTTAAAAATATCACCAGAAAACTCAGACAGGGCTACAAAACCTGAGGAAAAGATCTACTAGATGAGGAGTCAGAAGAGGCAGTCACCACTGTTGGGGCCTGCTTCTACACCCTAGAATTCAACTTGAAAGTTCATCCTGGCAAGATGACGTATGCACTGTAAGACTGCAACCAGTTTACTAAATCCCTCTAAGCACAGGTTTCCTCATCTCCAAAATGAGGATATCAATGTTATGAACCTCATGAGAGTCTTTGAAAGGATTAAAGGAGACAATTCATATGAAGAATTCGTAAGTGCTAGGATGAATGCTCAAGAAATGAAAGCTATAAAATTATCCACAAGCTGTGTAGTGGAAACCCACCTCTTTGTTTAATACAAATACTAACCTCTTCCAGTTAAAAATAAGCAGTGAAAGGACACATCAAAAGCAGATGTCCCAAATAGGTCCACCATTGGAGGACAAGAGTGTCCTGTGCCTCCTACTCCCTAGCTTACACTCATTCTTCCTCTTTGTGCTTCTTTGGAGGAGAAAGTTCCCTTTACACACTGTCTACTAACTCTGCCTTTCAATGTTCCTCCTCCTAAAATTTAAAAAAAAAATCCTTGTTATGTAAGAATCAAAGGTATTCATGACTAATACTAGCTTAAAATGCTTGTGTGCGTTCCATATCAAGACTTTTATGTTTTGAGGAAGAATGCACAGCTCTAAAGAAGAGGACTATGAGTAGGAATGGCAATGTGTTGGCGTGCAGAAATTCTCACCCTCTTCAAATGAGGCTAGAGGGCAGCTTATGAAGGACACTGTTGAGCTACCTGTGAATGGTGGTGCTCTGACAGATATGCATCTGAGTCACACACAGCCCACACATAGGTCATATAGATGGGTGACACCACTTCTGATAACAAGTACTTAAGTTAGAGAACAGCAAAGCAGCTGCCTCCAAAAATACCTAGATGAGTTCAGATCTGTAAGGAAGATTAGTAGGTCTGAGGAAATGATTCAATTCCCTTCCATGCAAACAAGGGATATTTTTAGAGGATTCTTGGAGAAGAAATCTAAAATTTTAAAGGAAAGTGTTTTTGTTTTTTTAACAATTTCTTAATGATAGAATAGAGAATAAGTGTGAAGGAGAAAGAAGGTGCACATACCTAAAAAAAAAGAACTAATCCTGAAAAAAAAAAAAGCTGTGTGTGACCCAGATGTTCAATTTTAAGTCCCTCTGCTTCAGAGAGTGTCTGGGACATTGAATACTGAGGATTACACAGCTATTTTCACAACAGTTGGTCAGCTACTGTTGAGTCATAACTCAGGGTGCTCCAAACTCTCTGAGACTAAGGACTTTGGTCTGGTTCAGAATCAGGACGAGAGGGGCATCAACAGATCAAGAGTGTTTGGACACCATTGGCTTGCTGTCCAGGAGACCTGGAACTCTCCTTCACTGAGAGCTGGTTCACCCACACTCCTCTGCTTTCCTTCTCTAGCTTCTACCTGATTACGTATCTATTTGCTGATGCTTGGATTGTCACTCCCTGGAAGTAGAAAGGTGCTCCCCCAAATTTGTAAATGTACATTTTATGGAGACAACTTTGACCCATCTGGATCCAAATTTCTGTTGTACACTGCTATAAAACCATAGCTGGCACTTAAAGTTGCCAGCATCCACTAACACAACAATTCCCTTAGTATATCACTTAGTCAGTGCAGACTCCTTTGTTAGTAAATGGCATGACTTGATCTAAGTACTAAGACATTGGCCAACCAAGCCTGATCTGTCCAGCTGGCCTCATGGAGATCTGGGTTTTCTGGGAGGAAATCACAGGGTTTGGACTGAACTGGTTCTGAAAGGTAGCACACACTAAATAGTCTCCTTTCTTTAGAACCAGACTTCATCCATCATATCTCCCACCCATTTCTATTCTAATAGTCAAGGCCAGCTGCTACCACCCAAGGCTGATTGTACCAATAATGGATTATTATAATGCGTGGAGCTAATAGGGCCAATGCTGTCAGAACATGGCGGGATGAGATGGATATGTGCAATAAAAACGAAGACTCTCTAGCATTTATATATTGCTTTTACTTTCTAAATGTGTTCACATCTGTTATGCCATTTTCTTGTCCCAATACCCCTGAGAATGATGGATCCTTCAGGCATAATGCTTCTTTTATTCAGATGCAAAAAAACTGGCAGGCATATTGAAAGGTCTCTCCAGTGATCCCTGTGGCAAGAGGGCAGAGCCATGGGTCTTCTAAACTGCCAGACCTTAGCAGGATCAAATAGGTTAGTGCCCTGCAAAAAAAGAGTAAAGGTTTTCCCCATCTACTTGGTTTATTCCTCTCCACCAGTCCCTGATTTAGAATGAAAATGAAAATTCTCTCTTTTTTTCTTTTCCCAGCAAACTGTAATAGACTGAAATTGTTGCCTCTACTTCTCTATGTCTTGTGTTCCTCCCTTCTTCCCTCTTCTGCTTGACATGTAAATTTGATGTTTCCACCCAGTAAATCAATCAGAACAGAACGCTAATTTATTAAGCAAATGTGTAAAAGCTGCCAGTGTACTACACCCATGACTATGATTGACACAAGAACAAAACAGCAGCAAAGTCTAAGCCTCCTCAGCTGAGGCCATCGTAAAGAGAAAACACAATGCATTTTTGTGGCTCATCAGCTTTGTGTCTAGTCCTTCCATTATCTGCTCAGAGGAAGACACAAATGGGAACACAAAACCAGCTCTGCAAAACAAGACTTGAGGCCAGTTGGTCACACCACTCTGAAAAGTTCCTGAAATATGTTTATTGTTGAGGACAAGGGTGTGAGAACACTCTCAATGGGGCTACCATGGGTCCCAAACTTATTTGGTGTTATGTTATAGTCCTCTTTTCTTTCTTAATTCAAATTGAATGCATTTTAAGAGATACAGAATACTTAAACCTTTTAACAACAAAAGAAGGTATCACACTTATAAGCCATTTATTCCTAATTATACAATTACTTTATCATGCCGCACTTGCTGGAAAAGGAAAAAAAAAAGTCTATGAGGCAGAGAATGGGCTGGCTTATGATATTTTTCTTTTTATTGAAAAAAAAGGTTAACGACTCAATTTCTTTCCCCTCTGGAATTCAAAACTGCTAAGGCACCAAGTGTTCCTCATTTCTGGATAATAAAATAATGATGTAATTAACAATTAAATAGCACAGTATCATAAGAAATTATTGAACTTCCTTGTGAAAGGAAGTAAAAAACATACTATTTTAAGAAATGTTAAAATGAGATAATTATTATCTAGCTTAAAAGTAAAAGCCAAATTCTTCCAGTGTGCTTTCTGCCCTCGGCTGTTCGGTGCTTTTGGAGTTGCCCTGACTCTCTATGGTCCCTGAGGCTGTGGATGGGCAGGCTGAGATGTATTCCAATCCCACAGCTTTATTTTCAACTCCTGACCCCATCCCAGCCTCTGCTGCTTTCCTCCTTTGGACACAGTGTCAGCTGGCCATGTAGGCTCCTCCTCCTGCCCTCCCTGGACACAATATCTGCTGGCCACATAGCCTCCTCCTGTTACCCTCTCTGGACACAGTGTCTGCTGGCCACATAGCCTCCTCCTGTTACTCTCTCTGGACACAGTGTCTGCTGGCCACATAGTCTCCTCCTGTTACCCTCACTGGAAACAGTGTCTGCTGGCCACATAATCTCCTCCTGTTACCCTCGCTGGACACAGTGTCTGTTGGCCATGCAGCTTCTTTAGCTGCTGTCTTTTGTTCAGCTTTCCTTTATTCTGACAAGCACCTGAAACCACTGACTTATTAAAAAAAAAAAAAAAAAAAAAAAAAAAAAAAAAAAAAAAAGTTTATTTGGCTCACAGTTTGGAAGGTTCCAAGGCCATTATCAACTGACCCTGCTGTTTCTGAGCCTGTCATGAAGTGCATTGCGGTGGAAGTGTGTAGAGAGCCAAGTCACTCAACATGGCTAAGCACACAAGAGATAAATAGGTGACAATTCCTTGATCTGCATTGAAGGTTGATTCCCAGTCACCTGAAGACCCCACACTAGGCCCTCTCATCATCATTACCACTTCCCAAGGGAAAACTTAGGAGAACAAGACTATAGCATACGGGCCTTTCAGAAAAATTCCAGAATAACCCTCTGAGTACAGGCTGGAGAGCACCCACTGGGATAGGGTGCATCTCTTACAGCAAGGACTGTGACCATCCCTCACCTGGATTGTTGAATGAGTCTACTGACAGTCTCCCTGGGTTTAGTTTTGTCTCCTTGGGATCAAGTCACCTCATAGAACCTTTTGAAATGTCTATCTGATAACATATTGTTTGACACCCTCCAAGGATCCACCTTGTCCCTGGGAAGTCATCTCAATGACCTTGGTAGCATTCTAGGATCTTCTCAGGTTTGGCCACACCAGATGTATTATTAGTTACTTTTGGCATCATTCTGACAGAAACAACTCCAGGAAGGAAATATTTATTTTGACTCACAGTTTCAGAGGACTTCAGTCTATCATGATGGAGAAGGCATGGAGTGCAGCTTAGTGTACCGAGTCAGAGGCATTGGTGGAGGCTGCTTCCATCATGTTGGACCAGGAGAGAATGGCAAGAGCTAGATATAACCAAGATTGAAGAAACCCAAGTTCAATCTTCCAAAAACCACACAAAGCAACCTACTTTCACCAACCAGTTCCCATACTACCCAATGCCCAATCTCTCAAAACACCACCATCCACTGAGGCTCAAGCATTTCAAACAGTTAGTGGAGGTTACTTTAATTCAAACTGTAGCATTCCACCAAACCCTCAAGGGCTCATGGGAATCTCAGAATACAAACTGCATTAAATATAACTTCAAGAGTATCCAAAAATCTTAGCAGTTTCAACATTATTCAAAAACTTGAGCCTGAACTCTCTACTGAGACTTAGTCTGTCTATTAAGAGACTCAATCTCTTATCTGTAATCCCCATAAAGTAAAATAAAAAATTACATACTTCTAAAATACAATGGCACAAAGTAAACATTCCCATTCCAAGTGATGAGATGAAAGCAAGACTGAAAGCCAGAAGGGAAAACACTAAATCCTATAGTTCCATGTCCAACATCTAGGATACATGTGGTGCCTATGGCTTAGGGAGCCCACCCACATATTTGCCATGGCCTATCTGTTGGGCTACCTCCAAGTTCTCCTTGGCAGACATCCCATGTTTCTGGCATCTCCAATATCCTGGAGTCCCTATTGCAACTTGGACATCAATCTTACAGCTCCATGCCAATTTCTCTCAGGAGCATCCTGTGGATAATGGGACCCTAGTACACCTTGCCTGGGCTCACAAGCTTTCCTCTGGATTCTTGGTAGAGATTCCCATGACCTTATAATCCTTGCATTCTGCATACCTGAAAGACTAGCACTAGGTGGAAAATGATAAGTTCTGTGCCAGCTTGAGCAGTAGTCGGGCCTCCTTGGACCACTGTTGCAGAGGCCTCTGAATGCTCTGGTGGCTGAACATAGGAAAACATTTCCCTAAGTTATTCTTTGTGATAAACTTAATATATTCTCTTTCAAAAGGAATTCTTTCAAATTAGTTTGAAGTTTTGTACACTGGAGCCTTCAAATGAGTAATTCCTGAAATGCCTTCAAGGGACCTCTCCTAATCTCCAGTGAGAAGTACTTAGCTGCTCTTCAATCACATGAATTTCTGTCTAACAGACTAGTTAGTTTTTAATCCAACCTCACTCAACTTTTTAGGACAAGGGTGAAAGGCAAAGTATAGACAAATCTTTGCCAGAACACAATGCCAATACCACTGTTTCAGTTTCCAATATCATTTTTATGTCCATTTGAAAACTCATGAGCTTGGCCTTCCCTGGCTATACTTATTCACATCAGCATTCTGGCTTCCTGGCTTCCAGCCAGCACCACCCCCTGAGCTCTGCTTACAAAATTATCGGACTTCTAGAACTAGGCTGCATCTCCAGACTTTTCTATATTCCTTCAGCAATCCAGCTCCAAAGGCACAAGGTGCATTCAGGTGTAATCATAGCAGCACCCTCATTTCTTTGATATTTTCCTGTTTTTAACTTTTTGAACAGCTGCAATGAACTACCTGACAGAAACAGAGAGAAAGGTTCATTTTGATTCATAGCTTCCAAGAGTTTCAGTCCATCCAAGTGGATAGGGCATGGCAGAGCTCATAGCAGGATGCGAATGAGGGAGACGGTGTTCATACACAGTAGACCAGGAATCAGAGAGTGAGGCTGGAGCCAGGAGTCCAGCATCACTTCCCAGTGGTGACCCTGAGTGGCCAACCACCACCATCTAGGATTCACTACTCGGAATTTCCAGAACCTTCCTTAACAGAGTCACCAACTAGGAGGCAAGTGTTCAAACATGAGCCTCTGAGGGGTGTTACAGATTTAAACCACAATATCAGGTCCCCTTCTGTCAATTCTCGTTTACTATCACATGCTCTAGCTACACAGATTGCTACGACTGACATACCTTTTTAGGGAAAGAAAAAATTTTCCTTCATACTAATAAATCTTAGCAAATAAAATTCCCTCAAATAAATGATATATTAATTAAAAGACCCCAGAAATGTATCAATATGCACATTCCATCTAGTTACAGGAGACATAGGAAATCTGTGTTGCTCTAAAATGTAACTTCTAATTTTACCCAATGCAGGATCTTCAACGTAGAGCAGTAAAATGTTCGGAGGTGACAAGACAAAGGAGTGCCTTGGAGGTCAGCTCTGGGGACGGCAAACAACTGTCAGACAGAGGCTGGTTGGGGAAACTCTGAGGCAGACCCTCCTGCTGCTGTCTAGGGACCCACAGGGTCTAAAATTGCTTTGGGTGGCTTTTCTTCTCCCTTGGTTTTCCAAGCAGGTAGAACAGCTTTCTGCATCTCTTTCTTCTTAGTTGGTTCAGCCCAGCAGTCTTTAATTCACTGAGTCCTTTGGTGTTGCTATAAGGAAATACCTGAGCCCGAATAACCGGCAGAACAGTGCCTTGGTGCTGTAGCCTGCAGAGAGGAAGAGTGCTACCTGCTCCCATGGAAGGAGGGACAGGGTGAGCCTTTCTTACAAAGGGCTTAGTCCTGTTTACAAAGGAGAAGCCCTTACGGACAAATCACAAATCGTCCTGAAAGGCCATTTCTTTTCTGTTTAATTTATATTTTTTCAAGTTTTTGAGAATTTCATATACAAATACTGTATTTACATCATTCCATCCCTTCCTCCTCTCTCCAACTCCTTCTGTGCTGCCCCTAACTTGTGACCTCTTCTTCATTATTGTTATATATACACACATACATACATATACACATACACACATACACACATACATACACATACACATACATACACACATACACACATACATACATACGTACACACATACACACATACATACATACATACACACATACACACATACATACACACACACACATATACATATACACATACACACATACACACACACATATACATACACACATACACACACATATACATATACATACGTACACATTTACATACATACATACACACACATATACATATACACATACACACATATACATATACACATACACACATACATACATACACACATATACACATACATACATACATATGTACACACATACACACATACATACATACGTACACACACATACACACACACATATACATATACACATACACACATACACATATACATATACACATACACACATACATACACACATACACACATACATACATACACACATGCATACATACACACATACATACATACACACATACATACATACACACACATACACACATGCATACATACACACATACATATATACATACATACATACACACATACACACATACATACATATCCTACTGAGCCATTTTAGAGTTGCTCATTTCATTTGTTCATGTGTTTAGGACTGGCCAATTGGAACTGGATAACCTATCAGGCAGCTTGTGTTTGGAAAAAGCTGATAAAAGCTGATTCTCTCTGTCTCTCTCTCTCTCTCTGTCTCTCTCTCTCTCTCTCTCTCTCTCTCTCTCTCTCTCTCTCTCTCTCTCCCTCTCTCCCTCTCTCTCTCTTTCTCCAGCCATTGATTGTCTATAGCATTTCATCTAAGGATGAGAAAGTCCCCATTCCTTAACGCCATAGCTTTGGATATTAAGTGATACCTATGGACACTCTACTTTCTCTGTATTCTTCTATGTTTTATCCTGGAAATACCACTCATCCATTAGTCCAATGTCACCTTCGCTTTGAAGTCTCAAAGGGAAGATTGTACCGTCTTCCTCTGTGTGCTCATAATGCACATGTGCCGAGCACTACTGCTGTGCTGCCCAAGAACCTTTAACCTGTTCTGGAAAAAAAATGGACGGTCCTGACAGGAACACCTTCCTCTTACTTCAGTTGTTACCGGGGCTGAGTTTCCTCTTTCCTTGGCTCCTTGATTTTCCTTTCCCTTTCCATCTCCCTCTAACAGGGTCCGTGGGATGGGAAGCCTGCGGTGAGACCAGTTGCTATGCCTGTCCCTACCGGAATGTCTTCTTCACACTCCACTGGCTGCATCTGCCTGGGGCCTGGATTCTGACAGCTGTTTAATAAACCACATCAGCAGCATGCCAGCTTAAGACGGAATGAAAGTGAGAGCCTCCCATTCCATTTCTACTCTCTGATAGCCTCCAATTCCATTATTTACCTTTTAATATAACATCATTTCCCCACATCCCTCCCTACAAACAGCTGCCTTCTTCCCTTTGGTGTAGTGAAAGGCCCTTGCTGGGGGATGGGGCTTTTCAGCCCCAGCCTGTGTTCACCTGTATCAGCTAATGGCTGCTCAAGCACTTCAGACATCTGAGGAATCTCCCCTTCCCTCCCCCTCTTCCAAATGCTTTGTAAAATTCTTTGCTTGCTAGAGAAAAAGCCACATCTCCCAGCTGCTTCTGCCCTGCCGGTCCCCCATTCTATTGTAGGGTGCATTACAGTCGAGTGTAATCTTTAAAAAGGCCTTACATATTCCATCTCATTGAATAACAGAATCCAGAGGACGAAAGGGTAGGAGAAAGAGGCTGTGGAATGCTATGAAGGGCAGACTGAGATGAGCCCAGGTATACCTGGTCCTTCTCCCAAGCAAAGGGATGCATCTCTCTTTACAATAGAAGAGTCGGGAAGCAATTTCAAGCTGTGGCATTACTCCCCAAACCTTTCGTTTTATCTGGGCACTTAGAAGCAACTTTACTGTCTCTCTGGGGTGTGGTTGATGAAGCTGACTCTCCTCTGTGCAGCTCTGGAAAGCCTCCCTTCTCAATCTATCATTTAGCAGCTCAAAGCTGAACTAGACAGGACAGAGCACCAGATTGCTGTGGAAGCCTGGCTCCAGTCGAGGGCTGGCCTCTCATCCAAGCAGATTGAAATTAGGTTTCAAAACTACCCGTGAGAAAGAAAGATGAGATGGAAAGTCGCTGATGCAACTAAAACTACTGTGGTGATAGCTGATGAGGGAAAGAGCAGGGCAAACAGGGCTGCTCAAAACGCTTAAAGTGTCCCACTCCACATGCCTGTGGCTCCCTGGTTTCCCCCAACTCTCTGTTTTATTAACTTAGCTTCTTTTATGAGTACTTTAATAAACCTGGCTATTCTCTTCCCTGTGCAAGGAAGATCATAAACTCCTCTGCTTTTAAAAATACAAATAAATAGCTCAGGGTTCTTCGCTCACCCAGGAAGGAGTAAGCAGGGGATAGGAGTGTGTTCAATAGCTACACCTAAGGGCTCCTTTTGAGAGCTAGCCAGGCACAAGGGTCTCATCTGAAATCCAGCAGAAGCCTACAAAGGAGGGGGAGCTTTTGCAGACTTTGGGAGGAGGCTAATCCTTTAGGCCTGCTCATTTAACTTGTTTATATCTGGCGAATTATCCCTTAATCCCTGTCCTTTGCCTGAGGCCAAGAAAGTTCTGTCTGGCTCTAAGAAGACTAAGGGCTGAGTCTCCTCTACAAACCCAGCAGCTAGTCTGACCCAGCAGGTACCCAGACACCATTAGATCTCTTGGAAGAGTTAAGAGAATTCATTTTGTTTCCCTCCCCCTTTCCTTCTCCTCCCTCTCCCTCCTCTTCCCCTCCCTCTCCCTCCCCCTTCCCTTTCCCTCCCTCTCCCTCCCCTTCCTCTCCCTTCCTCTCTCTCTCTCTCTCTCTCTGTTCTCCCACACATACTCAAGCCATCAGCAAATCCCCTGGCTCTACATTCAAAACCAACCCACTTTTAGTGTCTGCTCTGACACCTAGCATTTGGCCCAAGCCACCCTTGGGTTCACTTGCATGGCTCCAGCAAGCAGTGCCTACCTGTTTTCTTCTTTGTCCTCAACCCCACTCCACTCTCTGACTGTTCTTGAAAAAAACACATGCTAGGAATGTCTTGACTTACATCCTCACACTCCAGCTTACTCAGCATGACTCAACAACGCTTTGTGGGCTGTAAGCTTAGCTTTGTGGGCTGTTGTGACTCAGCTGTCCCTTGGGAATGGTGCACTGCGCCCACCTCGTTTGTTCTTGCCCTTCCTTATGCCTGGAACACTCTGGAAATCTCATTTTTACTCACACACCCCCTTCTCAAGAGTCCCTTGATTAATCTTCCTGGATCATCTCATTCTAATCTGAAACAACCTGCCAGCATCCCTATCCACCTTCCTTCTTGTCTGCCACAGTACTTACCCCAGCCCAGCATACTATACATTTTCTCTGTCTTCACCAACCTGTGCTTTATCTTACATAGGGGCAGACATTTTGCTTGTTGGACTCTTGGCTGTTTCCTTATGGTTAGAACAGAGCATAGTACAAAACAAGTACTCCATAAATATTTATGTTCAGCCCATTATTGGATCAAAATTCTTTAAATTTAGAGGTAAATTCTGCATTAGTGTTGGGTGTAGGTTCCCAGGAGGGTCCTGGACCCAGCTCCTCCTCTGACATGGATTTGCAGTGACCTTGGCAGGCACTTTTAAGAACACCAGTCTACCACTGGTCATGATCCTAGTGTCTTAGGATTTCTATTTCTGTGAAGAGGCACCATGACCATGGCAACTCTTATAAAGGAAAAACATTTAACTGGGGTGGCTTATATTTTCAGAGGTTTAGTCCATTATAGTCATGGTACAACATGCTAGTATGCAGGTAGACATGGTGCTGGAGCAGGAGCTGAGGGCCCTTACATCTTGACTCACAGGCAACAGGAAGTAGTCTGGCTCACTGGGCATAGTTTGAATATATATGAGACCTTAAAGCCTGCCTCCAAGGTGACACACGTCCTCTAACAAGACCACACCTACTCCAACAAGGCCACATCTCCTAATAGTGCCACTCCCTTTGGGACTATTTTCCTTCAAACCACCACACCTAGCAAGTTTGAAAGGGAATTTACCAACTAGATCCCAATCACTTGTGCTTAGTGGGAGCACACTTGTGGGTGGTAAGGGAGAAACCTTGCCATGAAGCATCATTCCAGAGCAGAAAGAAGTCAGCGCCCCAGACCTGGGCACAGTGGCCTCTCTCTGGCCCTTTAGCTTTGTGCTTGGTACCAAGAGTCCTCAGAGTAGCCCAGGCAAAAGCAGCAAGGGTGGAGAAGTTGCTGAGGGATCTGAAAAGCTCCTAAGAAAGTGATATGGGTAGAGATTTCCAGCGGCTTCATGATAGGCCTAGGACATGGTTACTCTGCCTCGACGGCCTTCTAAGAATACTCCTGTGGCTACACCACACTCTTTCTCTTGCACTTGTGACAGTTGTGCAGCCCTCCCCGAGAGGGTGCAGTAGAGACATACACACAGTGGCCTGCCTGGGTGAGGATGGAACAGTGAAATCAAAGAGTCAGACTGGTCAAACTCCCCATGTCAATCCAAGACCTCAGTCTGTGGTTCAGCTTGATGTGCTGGATGGAGTCCCACAATGGGCACAGAAGTGTCTGGAACTGACCAGTAAGGACAGAATTTAAAACTGATAAGCAGCTGTGGGAGTGTGAGGTAAACAGAGGGGCAGTCCAGGTGTCCATGT